TGGCACTGAAGTGTGGAAGTCTTAAAGCTGGCAAGTTACAAGACCCTTGCACCCCTAACCCTTTAGAAAAAAAACCCAGGAGTGTTCAAACCTAACAGTTTTAAGACTTGTGGACTTCAACTCCCAGAATTCCTCCTCTCGTTCTTCATCCTTGAGGAGGAGGGAGCTGGAACTGGTTGTAAACGGCACTGTAGATTTGTGGAACCTCTTCTATAGAATGTATGTATATAAAACCATGTTCTCAACTCTATGGAGGTTTCTAGTTTCAGTTGTATATTAATCTTTAAAGTGTTCTGAATCTGAATCTGTGAGTACGTTTGACCCCAAAACCTTCTAGGCATGATAAAATAACCCTTCTTGTTGTTCACATTCCAATATAGATTTGAAATACCTTTATGCATTCTAGATAATTTTTCTGGTGTCATATACCAATGGTATATCATAATTTGTGCACCAATAGCCTTGAGGACCTTGTTCACTTTATCAGATCCAAATAATCAAACTGTTTCCAGACTTTCCTTCAGCATCTCACATGGACTTGCACCACACATGGTTCCAACTGGAAATGAATCCAAGTGACTTTGTTTGTCAGGTATTGAACAAATTCCTGTGCATGATCCTGAAGATAAGCACCCAAAGCCTCCTGTCCCAGGAAGGATCTGGTGGTCTGGAACAGGGACAACAGGTGACACACTGCAGATGCAATAAGAAATAATGCTGTTTCACTGCTGTTATTGCCAGGGGGCAAGCCTTAAATAGCAGTTCTTAGGTCCAATAGGAACAGTGGTGGGTTGCAGGCAGTACTGGGGCATACAGGAGCCTGCCCAGAGCACTAGGGACTGTTCCAGTACAGTGCTCCTGAGGGCCCACCTGCCCGCCCAAGCTCCTTACCTGTCTTTTAAAGCCTTCTGTGCTTCTGTGCATGCGCATAGCTTGTACAGCGCCTGCACGAAGCTCCGCCTAGCAGCTGGAGTGTCGCGGAGGCTTGTGGAAGTGCAGCTGGCAGGTACGACACATGCGTGGGCCCGTTCCAACCATACCGGAACCCACCACTGAATAGGAATCACCCTTTGTTTTCTTCCAACAGTAGTCTGTGGGGCTCATAACCTAGTTCAGAACCATGTCTCTTCTGATGAGAAAAGGAGAGTTAGGAGTGATGGATTAAGAGAGGCCACACAGGGGAGATTTTGTTTAGAGCTTACTCACTCTTTGATTCCAGGATTATATCAAGGCTTCAGCAAGGCCATGTAGGAAGGCCTCTGGGATATCCCCCAGTTCCCTCTGGAACCATTTGAGTTCATTAGTTGCCAGGATGAACGGCTTAAATGGATCTGGTCCCCCTGTAAAGGGGGTTAATATAGGAGTATCCCAAGGA